TATATTGTGTTCCTGGAGAGTGTTGAACCTGATATGCCGCTCGGGACCAGGGACATGATGATCCTTGCAAACTTACTTAAAAAACATAATAAAGGTATTAAACAACTGAAAAGAATTAACAAATACAAGATTGGTGTCATTTTTGAAAGGCCAGGGCTTGCTAATGCAGCTTTAAACAATAGTAGCTTTTTAAAAGCAAACAAACTTAAAGCTAGTATCCCAGCTGCCGCAACTGAAGTCACAGGAGTTATAATGCATGTACCAACTGAGTTATCTAATGCACAAATTTACTCTGCTCTTACTTCTACTAAAAATATTATAAGTATCAGACGTTTTATGAGAAAAACTAATACCAATGGACATATGTTATTGCAGCCAACAAAGACAGTATCAATTACTTTTTCCTGTCCAACTTTACCTGACAGCGTGGACCTGAACAGCTGGAGATTCGAAGTAAGGCCATATATACCCCCAGTCAAACAATGTCTTAAATGTTTAAGGTATGGACATATTGCTAAATTTTGTAAAAACTCGACTCGATGTTCTATATGCAGTGAATCTCATAATTATAAAGAATGTCATAAGTCCTCTAAAGATGCTATCTGTGGTAACTGTAAAGGAAATCATATAGCTATCTCAATAGAATGCCCAATTAAAAAACAAAAAATAGAAGAAAACAGAAATAAATTTCAGACTAGAACATATGCAAATGTTGCTACAACTATTAATGAAAAGTCTTTCCCTCCCCTAATAAAAGATAAAATCACTCAATCTGATTTCAGCAATATATTGAATTCTGATGTTATCCTTAACATTTTAGTAGAATCACTTATAAAATTGATAAGCTTTAATAAAAGCAATGACAAATCTATTAGTACCCAAAACATAAAAGAAGTACTTGTTGAAACAATGAAAAATAAAAAGACTTAGTTTGTACCCCTTATGGATACTTTGAATGTTGTACAATGGAATGCCCAGAGTTTATTTAGTCATAGACATCTTCTATCTCACTTCTTACATGGAAATCAAGTACACATAGCCATTATTTGTGAAACCTGGCTTAAACCTACACAATACATTACATTTAAAAATTATAGTATTATCAGACTTGATTGTGGTAATGATCACAATGGTGTAGCTATACTTATTCATAATACCTTAAAGTTTAAAAACATATCTTCTTATTATGATAACTCCCTCCAAAACCTTGTTATACGTCTTCAGTATGCAATTGACAAAGAAATTACGATTGTTAGTTTTTATAGTCCTCTTAATAGTAACCCACCATTAACAAAAAATAAATTAGAAAATTTGTTCAAATCACTTCCACATCCTGCTTTTATTGCGGGCGACTTCAATGCCCTACACACGGCTTGGGGATGTGATCAGTGTAATTCTCGTGGCAATGATTTAATTAGCTGTATCCAGGATAATAATTTTGTTTTATTGAACGATGGTCAGTATACCACAGTTGGTTCGCATGTTTGGCGTCGCAATGCTCTTGATTTAACCATAGTATCTCCAAGTTTGGCTTTACAATGTGAATGGAGTGTTCATGATGATCCTTTGGGTAGTTTTCATTTACCTGTAATAACAAAAATCAATATCAGTTATAGTCAACCAAATGTATTAAATCCATCTAATATACCTTATCAACAGAACTATCGCAAGATAAACTGGGAAAAGTATATTAGCAATGTAGAGATGCTTTTAAATGATTTTGAAGTAAATGATAATGATCCATCAGGAACATATGCAAATCTTAGCCGACTGTTACTGTTAGCAGTCGATCAATCCATGCCCATGAAAAATCAACTACACACATTACCAACAAGTTCTCATAAGCCACGTAAGTTAAGAATACCTCTTCCATGGTGGAATGATAAATGCTCTTCTGCAGTAGAAAGTTCAAAAAAAGCTTACATTCAATTTAAAAATGACCCTTCAGAAAACAATTATATAGAATTTAAGAAACAGCAAGCTCTCAAAAAATTAATTATTAAAAAAGAAAGACAATCCAGTTGGACAAGATTATGTGAAAGCTTTAATAGAACCACACCACTTTCGAGAATATGGACTATTATGAAAAGGTTTAATAAGACCCCTATGTCACCCCCTAGTCATATTGATAATTGGGTCCCTAATTTTTTGGAGAAATACACACCTGATACTGTAGAAGCACCTTTACAATTTAACCACAGATCTAGTGCTCTCAATAATTTGAATTACTTGACTGCACCTTTTTCATTACAAGAATTTGCAACTGCTATATTATCCAGGCATGACACTGCTTTTGGACTTGATGGTATTCCTTACAAAATTCTGAAAAAAATGACAGACAGTTCTAAAAAAATTGTATTGAAAGTATATAATTTACTGTGGGCATCCAACACAATTCCACCTGAGTGGAAAATTGATTGTTTGATACCTGCCTTAAAGCCTAATAAAGATAAGTTTCAAGTAGATTCTTACAGACCTATTGCCCTTACATCTTGTATGGCCAAAATATTTGAACAACTAATCAAACAAAGGCTGGAATACTACATAGAAAGCAATGGTATATTGCCTGCTAATCAGTTTGGTTTCCGTAGGGGCCGATCAGCTAGAGAAAGCATATCACATTTAAATTTTGATATCTTTAATGCCATTAAGAACAAACAAGTTTTGATTAGTGTATTTTTTGATATTTCCTGTGCTTTTAATAGTGTAAATCATCATGTACTTGCAAATGAGTTACTGACCATCGGACTGCCAGAAAGAATTGTTAAATGGATATTTGATTTCTCACATAGCAGACAAGTTTTTGTAAAATATAATAATAAATTATTTGGGCCTAGATTTTCACATAAGGGAGTAGCTCAAGGGGGAATTTTAAGTCCTCTTATTTTCATATTGTATATTAGAAAATTGAATTTAATATTAGGACCACAAGTGAGTAATTTGCAATTTGCAGATGACTTAGTAGTATATATGTCAGGCTCAGATGTAAAATCAGTTATTATAAATATAAATAGTGCCTTAGATCTGTTACATAATTATTTTCATCACCTTGGACTAGATATTAATGTTAGTAAATCTAAAGTTGTAGTATTCAACAAAATAAGACCATTTCATGTAGATATTTACTATAATCAAACTAAGCTCCCTATAGTGAATAAAGCCAAATTTTTAGGTATAATTTTTACATCTAATTTGTCTTGGAATACTTATGTTAATGAAGTTATTTCTAAGGCTTCCAGGGCCTACAACATTCTAAGATGTCTGGCAGGAACACACTGGGGTTCTGATCCAAAAATACTTTTAATTCTTTATAAATCCTTAGTACGTAGCCATTTTGAGTATGGATTTATGTGTTTTGGGTCTAATAAGAGATTAGTTGAAAAAATAGACATTTTACAGAATCGTAATTTGAGATTAGTGTTAGGAGCCATGAAAACCACTCCTATTAATTCATTGCAAATAGAATGCAATATTCCACCTTTACAGATAAGGTTTAACTATTTGAAACATAAATTTCTTCTAAAATTGTTATGCATTAAGCATAATGCTTTGATAAAGAAACTTATTACCTTTCATAACACATTTCCTTATTCCTTAACCTCTACAGTTCCATTTATTCTTCACGACTTTTCATTTATATTAGAAATGAGTACATATAACATATTTAGAAATGATTACCACTGGGTTTGTTATGACCATGAGTACTGGAGTAAATTTACAAATATGCACATCATAATAGATAGAAAACTGCAACATAAAAGTGAGGTTTATAATATATTGACTCAATACCCAGCTTATAGATCTATATATACTGATGGTTCCAAGAACGACACAAGTACAGCATGGGCAATTTACATACCTCACATCAATTGTGGCAGAGGAAGAAAGCTTCCTTCAGAAATGAGTGTGTTTACAGCAGAGTGTTACGCAATTTACATTGCACTAAAATATATATCTAAAGAACAGTATTTTCGCTGGCTTATAGTATCAGACAGCATGAGTGTTTTAGAAAGCTTGGGAAATAACAAATTATCTGCTGATACAAACTATCTAATACATGAAATAAAACACTTATGGTTGCAGTTAACTCAACAAGGTTTTGAAACGATTTTTATCTGGACACCATCTCACATCGGTGTTAAAGGAAACGAAAACGCAGATTATTTAGCGAGAACTACCGTTATCAGTGACAGCGGCAGCCCTGATAACGATGTTGCCATCCCATTTACTGATATTATTCCTATTCTAAAAAATAAGTTATTGCAGCAATGGAATTTAGACTGGCATATTACTCTATCAAGAAAAGGTACATGGTACGCTGAAATCAATAGTTCAATTGGAAAAAAGCCCTGGTTTGTAAATTACACAGCAAGAAGCAGAACATTTTTCACTACTATTTCAAGACTTAGATTGGGACATGCTCGGTTTAATGCTCACCTCCATCGTATGCATATTATTGACTCCCCAACTTGTAATCAATGCAATATCGCTGATCAGACTTTGGATCATATTATCTTTGATTGTCCGTCGTTCAACATACAACGTCTTGCTCTAGCAGATCAACTTTTGCAAATGTATAAGAATCCGGAAAATGTCCCGCGCTCTACACAAGAACTTTTGAAGAAAACTGATACATATTCAGCATTATATACATACATATCCTCAACCCTCAAAGATATTTAACTTAAGACTTGGCGTTAGCCTGCACCTAAAAGAAAATCAAAAGACTTAAAATATGACATGGCTGTATGGATAAAAGTCCTTTGCCTACCCTGAAATGGGTCAAAACATCATACTTATTATAGAAATTTCTTTATTTACTTACAAGCGAAACAATGACAATTTAAACGCTACGTAAAAACAAAAAATAAATGTTTAAATGAAACAAACCAGTAAACGATGTGTTTGTTTAATTGTGATAAACAAAGTATTAATTTATCTGAACATAAAATACTACTATTAAAAATAGCAACAAATAAAACTTTACAGTTTTTACCTATAAGCTGGAGTTCTACACGGCAATGATTTCCAATCGTCTTTTATATTTTGTAGTCAAGCCATTAAGCATGTTGACTCTGAAAGTCTCAGTTAATCACTATCATAAGTGTACACTACAAATAGCGAAAATATTTCCATCAATATTAGCCAATTTTCAGACATATGCAAGTACTGCTCAGATTATTCATAAAGGTAATTTGACCATAAAATAAATCTATATTTTATATGGACTTACAATGCTAATAAAATAAATGTACACAGTTTTACACTCTTAATGCTGTATTGAGATTAATATAGTATTTTAAATAAAAAGATTTTGAATATAATAATTGAAACAAATTTTCATTTGAATCTAATGCTTAAACATATTTTAAGCTTTTGATTATTTAGGGGAATTTCATAAACATTTGTGAAATTAAGCTAACAACTAACTAGTGCTTGACAAATTTGTTAGTCCATAAGTCTCAGGACGACTCAATTGGTTAGGTTGGTTGTCCAGATTGTGTAAAGTTGTGTTTGGAGTTCAACTCGGGCAACTTGGATAGTTGTTTTTGTTGTTTCAGACATCAAAATAATATCTACCACCAATTGGCAAAAATTTAGATCTTAAAACATAAGTCATAAATCACATTAAATTCTTATAATATTTTAGGAAATGATACAGTTAAAGAACAAATTATTTCTAAAATGAATTTCCAAACTGTGCAGCATGCTGAGCCTTTCTATAAATTACCAGTAAAAACATTACTCCATATTTATAAAGTTACTGCAAATGATGAAAAACATGGTTATTGTAAGAACAGATTATATTATGTATCTTCAAAATTAAAGGTATCTTCAAATTTTTCTTTTATATATTTTTTGACTATAAATCAGAGTTTGAAAAAAAAAACATATTTCAAAGTATTTATCATAAACAAACATAAATTAATGAATGAATTGTTTGTTATTAATTAACTGGTCAACTATATACAGTAAAATAATTGGAAATATGTATGTAAAAAATAGAAATTTTAATACATATTGTGATAATTAATTATGGTAATATATCATCGAACCCTGAAAATTATTCAAAATGGACAGTAATGGTGAAGCCATCAAAAACTTTTTGGTTAAATCCAAGATAAATAAACTAGTTTCTGTCTTAATCCCTACTCTTGACTTTCAGTGCCCGCCATCATTATTATCTAAATATGTGGCTGAAAGAACTTTTCTCTATAGTTTATCTTTCGATTGGCTGGAAAAATCATTAAATGTTTTACTTGGTAAGTTAAATTAAATAATTTGTAATGGTGTTCTAGTTTTATGTGAAAATGTTAATACATTATAATTTTTTCAGAGATGGGAGTGTCAAGTGATCGCATCATTAGAGATTTATGGGTTCTTAAATATAAATCTGACACTATAAAAGAAAGATTAGAGAGAGTCAAAGCTTTAGGCATAGACAATTTATATCCATGGATGGTTAGGTGTTCTGAAGACATATTAAACAGGTAATTAAGGAATTACATGTTATTGTTAAGCTCTAAAGATTTTTATGTTAAGATTTACCAATATTTAATTAATTTTTACCATTATACAGTTGGTCAATCTTACATTAGACTTCAGGGATACAGTAAATGTTGATAGACAAATCCATTTATATAACACTGAGTTATGCTCTGCTTTTTTCTTTTTTTATAAATTCCATCACATAGCCGCTTTCATTTCAGCCCTTGCACCTTTATCATGATGTTCACCAGATATTCACTTGGTAATCATTGTCTGACCTATCGAGAGTAGTTTCGGTTTCCTATTCTAATCTGACACTTATCAGTATCTGGAGCAAATAATATGGTCTAGTAGTTAATCCATCCAAGACTCAAACTCGAGTAACAAGCAGTCATCATTTCATTTTTAGGATTGATTAACCATCAACTACCTGCTATGATTTACAACCTTACTGTGATTCTATTATCTGAAACTGTCAAAACCTTGGAGTTCATTTTGAACAACAGTTCTCTTGGAGATCTCGGAGACCTCAGATGAAAGCGGTTAAAAAGAAACAACGAACATCACACGGTATATTCAATAATAAACCTTATTCGTATAACTATCTATAAGGACCAAAGATACCCATGCGGTTCGTCGCAAACGACAAAAAATTGGCTTCATTGGTGCTTATATGTAGGTATAAGGTTGGTTTTGTTATTAAATATACCAATTGACGTTTGTTGACCCTCCATTTGCTCATTCCGTACACATCAACATAGAAGGATAACTATGGTGTGTTTGCTCAGTTTTTTAAAATTGCCACTGAAATCAGGTTTTCAAATGTTCCTAAAATATTCATATATTAGTGTTTACCTTAAATGTGTATGTAGTAATTTTTTAATATTAGATATATTTTAACAAATTATTTGTGCGTAAGGCAGCGCCACTGTCTTCGATTTTGAAATGGATTCTTGATCCATCTAGTTCCTTAATCATTAGTCTGATCAAACCTAGAATCGGAATAATTATGGATAAAAGTTAAATGTGTAACAACTGTCTGACTGACAAGAATAAATATTAAACATATCATACAATCATACATTTCTCAGATCCCAAATTAAGTGGCACAAATACTTGTATTATGGAAATCTGAAACAACGAATGTCAAACCATAGCACCCAGACCAGAGACGATAGGGGAATTTCATTTTCTACTTTGATGCGACCGGGAAAGATGATGATGTCTTGAAACCAGCATGTGAGTCACTCGATCCCGGTGGCCGTCATTGAACTCTGCGAATCTGTTTAGTTTCGTATAACAATATTAGTAGTTTTTTTTTTTTGAAGAATGTAATTTGGACATTTTGTCAAACACGTTGCGCCACTGGTACTCCCTATATTTATAAAGTGCTTATTAATATGTTTTTATTTTTCTCACTTTCAGATATGTTGCAATTTATCAAGAAACAAAAAATATTCTTGGAAATAATGAATCTACACATATATATCTTGCTAAACGTCTCAACACAACTGTAGAAGCTGTGGAAGAAATGTGTATAAAAACACCAGCTTTAAAAACTATTAGAGTCACCAAGGTATACTGAAAGACTAATTTACATTACTAAAGTATTAGGGATGACGACATGGAAAAAAGAAATTCTATTCAGTCCGTCAGTTTGATAATAGAAAATTATTAAATACATATATATTTTTTGCTTCAATTTAACAAGAAGTACCTTAGATCTAAAGACAGCGTGCGGAACTTTTCATTATAAAAAAAATCAAAAATTTCTTACTAACTGCCGAATTGTGTAGTAAAAGGTTGTAAAAACCAATCCTCAAAAAATAATAAGCAGGATGGAATCACATTTCACACATAAGTATTGGAGAAAACTTACATATTCAGTAATTTAAAAATTAAATTTAAGTAATTGCTTGGAACACAAAACCTCAGCCAAATATTACCATCGTTAAACGTTATTATTTACCCCGAAATCAGGTAACTTTAATTTTATAACGCGTTATTTCTAACAAACCACAAATTACGTTATGTATTTATTCTTGTTGTATGGAAATGATATTTAATAAATTTTGCATGCAAAATACTACATAGAGGTCCAGATCATAGATATTGAAGTGTTAGAATAAGGAAGTAAAAAATAAAAACGGGTTTAATTTTTTACTTCTTTATTTTTTATTCTAAACGGGTTTGCATACATTTTTTCATTTTCAAACCCAAATCAAAATGTGAAAACAGGCGTTAAACTTGAGAAGTGGAGTTCGCTACTTTACAGTTTTGTAGAAAATGTCCAAAAGCGTGACGCCATGTGTCATTTCAACCCAATTTGTGGAAGTAATTAAATGATTACGCAAGAAATAAAAAAGATACGTGTTTAATATTTTTCTATAATTTATCTGACAGACAAACAAAAAAAATATTTGTTGTCATCCCTATTGCATAAAACTAAAAACAAGTTTCACGAAACTAAAAACAGGTGTTACGAAATAAATTTTGGTACATGTGCAACTACTTTTGCAATGGAATGCAATGAATAACACCTCTGAGACTATGTCATTGACTATGTGCAGATGATGTGACGACACTAGTTTCGCCATCTAAATCGATGTGGAATTAGGTGAAACTAGATTCATCAAAAATATGCGTATCGCACGAAACTATTTTAGTGTCGTGGAAATAATACATGCATAGTGGAAAGAGGGCGTCTATACTGCATTCATTATAGCATTAGTCGGAAGTTAAATAAGGTTATTTTTATGGCATACTTTGTAACAAAATATCAACAATCATGTTACTCTTAAGACTGACGGCTAATTTGCTACATATACACTTAAATACCAGCTGCTATTATTAACCGTTGTCGTTTAAGCTATCTATTAAACAAATTTATGAGTATTAGAGTAACTTAAAAAATTTAATTACTATTACTATAAAAAGTGTTCATCTTAAAAAACCTAAAAAAGCAGGGTTGGATAGTTTCGGCACGATTCTCATGTCACTATAACTATACCAAAATTATTTAAAAGGGATTAGCCCTTCAAACGTTTTAGGCAGTACAGCATTTTAATTTTGTCAGGTTATCATGTATTCATAATAGTCAAAATACGTATTCTGGGATAGTCAGTAATTGTGAATGCTATTGCCTTTCTTGTCGTTTTTCCGTTTTCTGTGATTGAATTGTTTTATTGTTGGTTCCTTATAGTTTTCATTTAGTTGTTATCTTTTTGATGTTAAGTTTTGCTAAATATGGACGATTCCGGTGCAGGCAAGAGTGGCCTACAACAAATTAACTTTGACATTTCAAGAAGTTTTTCCAATATTTTAATCAATACTCTAATAACATCTGAATAAATGGTATAAAAGTAATAATAAAATTTTCATTTTGTTGACCTTTCTCTCCTGGGCATAGATATAACTAAATTCTATTCTAATTATATACACTTACAATTAGAATTTTTCAAAACAAAAGATAGATAATTTTAGTTCCATGTTGGCTTGGGAGTAAAAGATGAATTTAGACAATTTTAGGCTCAACGCAAGCCCGAGAAAATGGAAAAATTACCCAACTCTTTCAGACTACCTAACATTCAAAGTTTTAACAAAAGTAATATAATATTTTTCAAATTTGTATTGAAAATAAAACGTTATGCACTGCTGCTTCTGTGATCCTCTTTTTTCTAATGTTATAATGAATGGAGTATAGACGTGCAACTGCTACGGCAATTAGTGTGAAGAAACTAGTTTCATGCTACTACTTTCGTTATGTCAAGGCATTGATAATAGACATATTACTGTAATTTCTGTCGCCTTATCCCTGGTTCCCAATAAATCAGGTCTTATAATGTAATATAGATGAATATATACCAAAATACTTATAACCCTTTTCTATCAAAGAATAAATATATATTTAGTGGTTACAATTTCTTGCCTATCATAAAACCACTAGCCAAAACCATCTACCCATAATTATTGATTTTAAATCTTAAAAAAAATATTGATTGTCAATCAAAAATTGTCTGCTGAAATGTGGGCTATCCATAAGATTTAGTGGCAACACTGAACACAAAAACAAAGTGTGCCGTTCAGCGTCTTCGCATACATAGCGCAAGTGCAACTCTCTTGACACCAATTACACGAGGCCAATAGTCGAGCCAATACAGTATTTTGAGTAAATAGAGATAATTCACAAGCCAGTGAAATATAAAGGGTTATTATTTTATTCATGCCAAAATGTACCCAGGGACCTGTTAAATAGTTCCCAAAATCAAACAAGATGTCGCTACGGTACTTTCTTGATTTATCCATGACAACCTTTCTGGTTTTCGTGTATAAAAGTTAATTAGTTTTCAAAACTGAATTCATATTCTTCTATTAGTAATTTTTGATATTTGTATTGATATCTAAGTTTCGAACTTTGCAAATTTCAGAATCTTTAGTCCATTCGTTTCCTGCAAAAAGCAACTTTTGCTAGACTCGCCATCTAGTGAGGTGCTTTAGTTTTTTTTTAATACTTTCTTATTGTCTAATTATAAAATCTATCGCAAACCCTTTCAATTTGACTTTTTTTTTCAATGTTACTTAATTCCATAAATCGCTATCACAATTCCTTTGAAATGGATTATGATAGATTTTGAAATAGATAATTTGCCCACTGTTCATATGAGATTTAGGTTTTATTCTGCCACTATTGAGGTCGCATGGCGTATTGTTACTTGACCTTTGTGTTTCATTATACAGCTACATATATCAATTAATTCGTTTATTATTATTTTTACAGGTAAAACATTTCTTGGACTATCTTATAAGTGAAGGAATTTCACCCGGAGACATTGCAAAGATACCACGCATTCTTTCTGCATCACAAAAAACAGTAAAAGAAAGAATAGACAAGTTACGCCAGTTGGGATTTCAAGAATTAAATTTAAATGTTCTGTGTAGGAGCAAAAAACAATTTAAAAAATTTTGTTACGCTTTTGAATCTTCCTCCAAAAGTCACTATTAGTAATTAGTAAACTCTTAAACCATTGTGTTTGAGTAGGTGTTATTTTTTTTTTAATATTCCGATTAAAATAAATGTTTTTTTATATGAACTTGTTCAATTCTTGCCTATTTTTAAAAGAAAAGATATAATTAGCTGTGATAAAAATGGGAACAGCTGTTATATCTTATCATCATCAACAGACGTACGACGATCATTGTTGAGCATAGGCCCTCCCATTGATCTCCACGACGATCGGTCCTGCGCTGCCCCCACCCAGCGGCTTCCCGCTGTAACTGGTTCGATGCATAGGCAATAATGAATAAAGACTAAGCTTGAGAACTTGATTTAATACAGGGTAAACAAAAAACCCTTTCCTTCGGGTTTGGTGAGTAAATTAACTTTATCATATTTGATTTGATGTAGTATACATTTTTCTTGTCTAGTTAAAACTCGTGAGCATAACGGAAACATGTAATAATAAATATAAAATTGCCATTGTTATATTTGATAGATTTTGCATTCACAATGCTATACAGGAAAATATTGTTCATGAAAAATGCTTAAAAATCCACTTGAATTAAAAATTGAAATTAAGTATGTATAATGTTTCTCGCTCGACGAATTTTCACGACGACGGTACGGTGGTACGACGTACTATGCAACAATGCAACCTTAATAAAATCGTCGGTCGACCTAGTGGGGGGCCTACCTAACCCACTAAGCGTCGTCCAGTAAGCGGTCGCCATTCTAGGACCTTTCCGACTCAACGGCTTTCGGTTCTTCTAGCTGTGTGCCGCCCACTGCCACTTCAACTAAACAATTATTTCTTATACACTTAATGAAATAAAATGAAGTATTTTCATCATTAAGAGAACTTACTGCTCTGTATTATATATTGAAATAAAATATATAATAATTCAGTATACCTACTAACAAGGTTAAAAGATATGTTAATAAACATATCTTTGTAATCCTATTTTGGGCATGTCTATTCTACACTGATGTACGATATTTATACCAACAGATGCAGCAACAAGAAATTATATTATTATCTATATATAAGAAATCAGTATATATTTCAACAAATCAAGAAAATCAATTCATATACAGTGAGCTAATAAGGGGCGGCTAATAATACATGGCCTAGGGAGACGAAGCCTGAAATTCCGCCTCTAGGTTAAATGATAACCTGCGATGGTTTTTGAAATAGTTTAATGTGCATAGTTTTAACTATGGCGTTGCCGGACTGTGTGGTGCAGAACGTCCGTACTGACAAATATTACATAATGACGTTCAACCTGACACACTCGAGTGCACTCGACAGATGATCCGTCGCGTATACACGACACATCTTCAGACAGATTTACACTGGATCCTTAATCCATACACTTTGCAAATAGCTCATTATAGGCACATATTTCATGAAAATTATTTATTTATATTATTGAAATATTTTTGAAAAATGAAAGGCATCAAAATAATACACCATACTTCTATTGAAGTCATGCGGAAGTCATGCATACTCATCGTGAATTATTTTTCACATTTTTAAAATGAGTTTTCATATTTTTAACAACACCTTTTTTACAGTTTATTAAAAGTTGTAATTTTCATAATGTTGAAAGTTAAGTAAAAAATACAATCTTTACTAATTTGCGAGAAATACGTGACCAGACATACATTCAGCACGTGTAATGTGATAGTGTAGTTCTTTAGGGTAGACTAATATAGAATAACGAAATTGTTATAATAACCACCTTTCTTGAAGTTAGCTTGAAGTCTATTAAAAATAATGTTTTATGCCATATTCTTATCTCTCCTATAGCAGATATCATGGACTATGATATAAGACGGATATATATTATATTCGCTAGATAACAGTAGCAAAATACTTTGAAATTGATGCCGCGCAATGCAAACCTAGACAAAGAAAACACCTTCCTAGATAAACATATATACGCGTCGAGTGCGCACGGTCGGAGGCGGGGGAGGCGGCCTTACCATTTTGCTTTGTTGTGCGATAGCGTGGTGTTTTCGTAAGATACCTATTATAGATCATATACACGAAATTTCATATTTAATAGTGAATGAAATTCATTCCTAAATTAGCAATAGTAGATAAGCAGGTACAAAATCCAGCAACACTGTTAATTTCATATTTTCATGAGGATAATTATTATGAAAGATCTGTACAAAACAAACGTGTGCACCTTGTGTTACCCAATTTCATAGCCTCAGTGAGAATACGCTACTGTTTGACTACATAAGCGTCATCTCTAACAATTAAAATTAATGTATATCAATAAATCTATGAAACCAATGCAATCCTTGAACACATACCTGCCTCTCTATAAACAAAGGTTAATTTCTAAATTCTTTATATCGTTAATTTCATAGATAATGTTAATTAGGGCTGTAACACATTTCTGCAAAATAAGAAATATATTATTAACCTATATATTACTAAGACAATGTTCAATGACATATTCATTTAAATGGAATGTTTTAATAAAATAAGCAGCTTTAATATCATTAAAATAATTTCAAAGTATTGCTGTTGAATTATTTTAACATTATAAAATAAAACCAGTTGTTAATATTATCAGTGATTATTTTCCTCAGCCATATAAACAAAATGTCTCTGGAATGAAGTACATGAAAAAAGTATTCTCACTAGCATTTAAATCACAATGCTCAATGCAAAACAATGTATCACCAATGACTTATATTTTGATTGATATATACTACATTTTGTATTTTGATTTCGGTCATGCTTAAATTTTTTGCTGACAATTTACTTGCAAACAGTGTAGTCAAAATTTACATTTGTGAACTGTGATAAATATTCTATATTAGACTACCTATGATAATATTACATAGTGTGAGGTTTGAGTGTAATCCATCAAGGATAAATTGAACTATTGATGAGCACACTGCACACCAGGACCAGCATGCATATGCTCCTCATCATCACTAGCATAGGCTTCTTCTCTACCTCTGCCTTTTTCACTAGCCGTGTATTCCATCAAGTTTACTTCTTCTACATCTTCTCCAGTTGGCATAACAAAAGCAGGACGAGCAGGCAGTATACTCTCAATTTGCTTCAATTGATCTTCTGTTGCAAAATTGTTTTCAGGGAACACAACATCAAATTTTATATACAAGTTTCCTTTCTCAAACGGATTTTTAAATTGTGGCATGCCCTCACCCTGAATCCCCTTAAGATCACCAGGCTTTACAATTTCTCCTGGAGATTGTCGAACGAGAAGATCGCGACCATCTAAATGCTTAACAACAAATTCAAAACCACATAAAGCTTCAGTCAAGTTTATCTCACGTTTCATAACAAGATCATCACCAGTTCTTTGAAAAACATCATGAGGTTTCTGTTGTAGCACAATGATAACGTCTCCAGGTTGTGTGTCAGGTAGTTGGTCACCTTCACCTCGGAAGAAAATCTTCTGATTTTCACGCATTCCCTTTTCAATATGCACTTCCAAAATTTTGGTTTCATTTAGGACCTTCTTACCTTTACATTTAGGGCACTTGTCTTTGTCATTGATTGTTTCCCCTTGACCATGGCATGTAGGGCAGCATGATTGTAACTGTCTGGTCATATGTGGAGCGATCTGTTGGTAAGACACTTTGATACCTTGGCCGTGGCAGTCTTTGCATGATACAACTGATCCTGGTTTTCCACCTATCCCTTTACAAGGTCCGCAAATGACATTTTTGCTTAACTGTAATTTAGCAGTTTTTCCAACATACATATCTTCTAACGATACTTTTAGAGTGTGTATAGTGTCTTCACCACGAGCGGGTCCTCGGCCTCTGCTACCTCCTCCCATCCCAAAAATATCGCCAAAGAAATGTCCAAATATATCATCTGGCTGCATACCTCCTTGACCACCGCCTTCTTGTAGACCTTTAAGCCCATATTTATCATACGTTTGTCTTTTTTTCGGATCCGATAACACTTCGTAAGCGTAACTTATTTCTTTAAATTTATCACCCGCTGCTGGATTTTTATCCGGATGGAATTCTTTAGCTAATTTATGATAACTCTGTAAAAAAAAATTTAATAATGTGTAGGAAGCCAAAAATTACATCAGTAGATACCTACTCGTAAAGACAATGAAGTGAAGGTCTGTAAAATGACATGTGTTTGGGTCGTCAACTCAAATATAAACTGAATTCTCTTGTAACGACAGCAAATTTACGAAATATAAATTCTTTGCTTACCCTTTTTATTTCTGATTCACTAGAATTTCTGGAAACTCCTAAAACTTCATATAATTTGCTGTCAGCCATTTTTCCTTCGCGTTCTTTTTATGTAAAAGGACGAAGCGAAAGAAAGACGACACGAAGTGACTGACTGAACTAGAGTGGAGATGAATAGGGATGAACGATATGAGTAAATACAAGTACTTATTCGAATCTTCTCTCGATACTAAGTATTTCACTATTGATACTTTAGAACCGAGTAACGAGTAGTATCATGATGTAAGTATTTGTGTCTGTACTTGATCGTTCGCTCACTGAGAAGAGTCCAAAAGCTCTTATACTTATGACTGTTTACTCTGGTGAGGTGTCTAAACTGTCATGTCATGAAAATGTTCCAGAGGCTCGGCGTTCTTATCGTAGCATTGCTAACTCTACTAATTTTATTCATATTTTTGGCTTGGACTTGGTTCTCACTCTTCCGTAAATAGAGTATTACTATTGACTATTATTCATAGTCAATAGGAATACTTTATATATCAAATCTGCTTTAAAAAATCTATTAAAATGACAACTTTGATAATTGGTGAAGCATTTTAAAACTATTTGATACAAGTAGGTATCGAGACTTTTCATACGATTCCAAGTAGGTATTGATACCTTGTGAACGATACGATATCGAATAAAATAATCGATATCTAGATGTTATCTTCATCCCTAGACATGAATTGATTTAAACTACTGAGTGTTCATAAAGTATCGATACTAATACGAGTACTGAATCGTTTAAACATTCGATATCGAACCGATTACAGATTTCGATTGAAATGAAAATAATAGTAGGTATCACATCGTTTGAAGTCACGAGGTAATAACTAAGAGTACTATAGACTGCATTAGTAAATAAATAATATTATTTTAAAGTCATTTGAAATCGATACGTTATGGAAGAAGTGAATGTGAGTGTGTGATCAAATATGATATCGATACTACATAGGATTAAGTACTATATCGAATTTACCTATAGATTCATCCGATGAGTACCAGCATATTGTCTTGACACAAATCATAGATTTTTTTTTTCTTAATTTGGCTTGCACTGTTTGTGCTTAGCCATTGTCAAAGTTTGGGAAACGGAAACGAAAGGAAATAGAAGTTGGAACGGATTTTTTATGGGATAGGTTCAGAAGGCTTAGGAATTAGGAGAAGGAAGATATATTTACACGATTTTTTAATACATAAATAGAATACAGAATAGGTTAGAGTTTAATATTATTTAAAATTATATTGATACTATGCAATTATAAATGGATAGGTCATTAGTGGATAGTAAGGAAACGATTGATGTCGGGAAAGGAACACGAAGGGACAATAGGTCATTAAGGAAGACAGTGCGATCGTAGCGTATACAAGCAAAAAAGATATGGTTTAGATCTCTAGTATCCATCCCACACTCGCAGGTAGCATCACTAATGATTCCAAGTTTGGCTAAATGTGAATCATAGACTAGTAGTATTATAATTCGTCCATGGGACAGGCGAAGGAACTAAGCCATACAGCCAAATCTTGGAGTGAATCATAGACTGTAATGCTTTTATTTGTTTTTTTTTTTTTTATCAGATTGAGGCAAAGTGATCTAACTCATGCAGTATAATTAGAAGAAGTATTTCTCTGTATAAGTCCCGTAAATTGCTAATGCGCTGGAACCTTGTCTAATAAAATATAGTCTTAATTTAATAACTTTGTTTGTTAATTTATTGCGTGAATATTAGAAAAGAATTAATTTACCTATATGTAAAATAAATGAAAAAGAAAAATTGTGAAAAAACTAATGGAAAGGACAATTTTTTAAAACATAACCAAAAGTAATAATGAAATGAGAGACATTAGATATATTTATTATTATTTATGTTTACTTGATGTGAAAATAATTATAGCAATTGCTATTTTAGTCAACTATAACAAGTAACAACAAAACTTAATAATAACAATCGAAACCAACAAAAGATGTATGATCTTAACACAACCCAACTCAATAAGTGTACTTGTCAACCAGCGTTTATTTATAATAATAAATCTTTTATTTACTTTATTTATGTTATTTACTCTTCACAATAGGTTTTTAAGTACAACATAGAAATTACATTCTGTCATGTATTATATCCTTACTGTGAAGAGAGGTCTTTTTTACAAAACCCGTTACACAAGTCACCAGCGTTCCTACCCGTGGATATTAATACTACTACTAAATTTAAATAAAGCCTGATTAACCTAATAAAAATCAATGGGATGAAAAATATCTTATTTTCTTATCCTCGTTCCTTAATAACATCTAGCCTTCGACTATACTATTACAAAATAATCCAAACTTGACGCAGTTACAGTTACTCATAAACAATAATTTTCCCGGCCTTTTTACGTTTTATTTAAAACAATTGGACAATAAGAAATCTATAAAATGATGGAAGAATAAAATCTTCTGTATCGTCATAATTCAGTGTTTTAGTCACTTGGTGTATACACATGGAATATATATTTAAGATTTAATTTAATTTGTTGTATATGAAGGGACTGATAAATGAAAAAAACTTTTAAGCATAGCGTGAGTTATTAGATTGTACAATGCAAACTTTGTTTTTTCGGCGCTTATCCTTATTAAGATTAAGTTCATAAATGATTTGCGAATGTTTTTTGAGAGTGGTTTGTAGTATAAAATATTTTGTTATTGAGAGAACATCCCACTTTTCATACAAATTATTAGCAGGATAGCGATAAGGGAGTCCTTCACTCCCTTCCATTGGCTCTTTGAGCTCTCTCAAGTTGTAGAAGATTCGTTCTTGAAACTCCACTGCATGATGTAAATGCATTAATTTATCAACGATTGACATAGATCAAAGTAAGTCATTTTAATAATTTATCCATTCGCAACGTAATGTTAATTTTTAAAAATACATATTTATTTACGCTAATATTTATATATGTGGTTTGAAGGTAAGGGTTTGATCGATTATATCTTCCAGATATTTTATGGACTCTTATAGAGAAGGACATGAGAAATTTAACGTACCAGTGTGATATGAATGCATAGTGATTTTGTAAGATTCTTGGTGTAACTTGGTATAACAATAAAGAAATTGGTGAATCCTTCAAGTTTGGTTTAATTGGTGTGCAAAAGCCACGTATTTTGTTTTAGAATCGTTAAGAGACAAAGAGTTGTTCCGAAGCCAAGTGCTGGCCCTCTGAATGCCTTTTCGAGCATATTCAAAGACCTCATCTCATCTATCACCGGTAAAAAAGTTAATATTGTATCATTAGTTAGCTTCAAATCGCACAATCCGTTAACATAAACCAGAAATAGAGTGGGACTATTTATATTTCTTTAAAGAATATCGCAAATTATTAATTGTTCATCACTGTCGTTTTTTAGGTAATCCTCAAATAATTTAAGAGGAGTATTTGCTAATTAGGTGAGGAAAAAAGACAGTGTCGAAGACTTTCACCTTTTTTAAAGAATATTGTAAGGCACTTCTTTTTTATCAAGATTTGTCATGATCAGGTTGGTGAGGTTATGGACAACATCGCTTACAGGACGAAAACCATATTGGGAGTCTGCAAGCAAATTGTTAATCTCTAAATATTTTATTAGACGTTCTAGAATCTCTGACATAGTGGCAAGAATTGAAATCGTTCTGTAATTATTTACTAAGACTCTTTCACCCCTAATTCAGGGTTTAATTAAGACAGTTTTACGCATTAGGGAAGGTTCCTTATAATATTGCAAGATTACATATGTACGTCAGAGAAGGAACCAGGTAGTAGTTATATATCTTTTTATTATATTACTCAATAATAGCACATTTATTTTTAAGCCCATGGATAATGCTATGAATTGTGTGTTCATTAGCGAGTATTATATTAAATGAGTTGAGAGGGGTTTTATGTGATTTAACATACCTAATGAGAATTGTACCAAAATTACGACATCAAAATGGCGGCTAGATGCATTAGTAATTTACGGGGATATATCCTCTTTTTAAAACTTATATACCTACTTAGTCTTATGTGAACACGGAATTTGTAAACGGCCTGAAACTTCAAAAAAACTAAATATAAACGCTACGAAACCGTTTAAAAGTTGTTTCATTTAAACTTATATCAATCAAATCACTGGTTAACTTCTTCAGTAGCTATATTGCTAGCTTAAATACGCTATTTAAACACTTGATTATATTTATTTTATTCTACAAATACTGGATCATCAATCAGAATAAAGTCGCTTCCTGCTGTCTATACTCTGAGATCTTATAAATTACACAACGGATTTTAAAGCAGTTAAACGAAGATACTATACCTTACTACTACTACACGTACTATACCTTCGTTGTTTCAGACTTTTATTAACCAAGACCTTTTATTGAGTTTAGATTTTTGTTAGGATTAAGTTAGGATTTTTTTGTATTCTTCAATGAAATCGAATGGAGAGAGAGGATCTTCAGATGATGATGGTGATATAACAAAGAAATAACAATAAAGAAATCAGACAGACGAACCATACCACCTATTATAAGTCGAGTTAATAGGGTAAGGGACATAATATTGTCCAAATCACAAATCGTTGTTTCGTAACTGATAGGTTTGCTATAACATACATCGCATATTTGGTGTCGGATGATTACAAAAGACTTTCATTTCGTTTTTGTTTTAAGATAGGCAAACAAAAGGCGGATGAGTTCTTTACGTCTGTCAGAACATAGCAAACTCAAAATTTGTAAATTTTGTATTACATGAACGACGTAAGACATCTGTGTACATAGAAAAGGACGCATTGCACTTTGTCGCTGTGATGACGCTGGGTGTCTTCGGAGCGCAACGCTCGGGGCAAACTTTCACACACATCATTAATATTCACCGAACGTGGCACACATGACGAATGACACCGGATCACAAAGCAAATGTTTGAAGACATCAGATCCGTGACTGTAGAAATTGGCAGTAAGGTGCGGCATTCTCGTGGCCCTTATGTAATAGGCAGTAACAAGATTTTTTTTTCATTAGTATACACGTTGATGTACTACTTCGAATGACCCAGAAGATTAACAACACACGTGTGAAGAATGAATGAAAAAAAATATCATCTCAGTTTCTATGTCAACGGTTGCTTCTGGTATAGGTA